TGGCAGAAGAAGTTGATCGTTTCAGTCCGAGCCAATTCACCCTTCCTCTGCTTTTTTTAAATTTTTTTATATTTTTTTGTTCTACTCAGGCCCCCAGAGGTTTGGATGGTTCCCACCTGCACTGATGAGAATGATCTTTACTCAGTCTATGACTCATATGGTAATCCACTTTGGAGACATCCTCACAGATACACCCAGAAGTCATGTTTTAACAGCGGATTGGGAGTATCTCTCAATCCTGTCAAGTTGAAACATAAAATTAACCATTACAGAAATTCAATATCAAGTAGTGCTACGTGCTCTGAAGAAAAAAGTCGATAAGGGGGCCAGGGCGTACATGGAAAAAAAAAGTTGTCTTCTAATAACAAATCAGTTGTGATAGGTTCACCCAAGGAATACCTCATGGCATGAAAATGAACCAACTGTAGCTCTACACACAGCATGTGTAAAACTTTGAAACATAGTATTGAGTAAAAGAAGCAAGAAATGATTCCATGAAAAAACAATCAGACTAAATCCGAACTTTGGGATATTCTGCGGGTCTCATGGTCTAGTTTCTAAAAAACCCAAACCCAAACCAAACCAAAACAAAGCAAAAAAACCCCCCCCAAAAAACAAAAAAAAACCAACCAAACCAAACAAACAAAAAACCCCCGCCATGATAACAAGACAGGAAGAGGGAAGGAAGTGGGATCTTGAGGAATAAAAGAGATACAGGAGTCATGATGTTTTGAGTTTTAACAACAGACTACAAAAAGACATCTTTGAGGCGATCAGGGAAATTTGAGTAAGAACTAGGTATTAGAGGCTATTAAGATTGATCATTAATTTTTCTTGGTAGAATAATGACATGATGCTTATCTTTTTGAAGTTCCTCTCAGATATGCACACTGATGTTTGCATGGGAAGAACAATATAATGTCTGAGAACACCCTTCCAAAACAATCAACAAGAGGAGGTTAGGTGAAACAAGGTTACAAAACATTGGGTGAAGGATTGTAATACTATAGTAGATTGCTTATGTTATTGCCTCTACTCTTATTTCAGTTTGAAAATTTCCATAATCCCAATTTTTTAAATGAAAAAAGTATTTAATTTACTTAGAAACCTCTTCTGGGCTTACATGTAAAACTATCTGTAAGAATTAAGTAGAAATCACACTTGTGTGTGATCTTATGTGTCATTCTGAAGACCTTTTGTTTTGAGATTATTGTAGATTCATATGCAGTTGCAAGAAATAATTCAGAAAGATTTCGTATACTCTTTTTAAAAAATATTTATTTTGAGAGAGAGAGAGAGAGCGAGCATGAGCAGGGGAGGGGCAGAGAGAGAGGGAGACACAGAATCTGAAGCAGGCTCCAGGCTCTGAGCCGTCCACACAGAGCCTGATGCGGGGCTCGAATCCACGAACTGTGAGATCATGACCTGAGCTGAAGTCTGACGCTTAACCGACTGAGCTACCCAGGCGCCTCAGATTTCGTATAGTCTTGACCCCAATGGCACAATATCACAATCAGGAAGTTGACATTGATACAATTGATTGATCTTATTCAATTTCACCACTTTGTTATGTATCCATTTATGTACATATGGCATATATATTAGTTTCTGTGCAATTTTATCAAAGCATAGATTTGTGTGACCTCCACCACGGTCAAGAGACAGAACAGTTCTATCAAAAGATTCTCTTGTACTACCTTTTTATCTCCACAGACACCACTCTTACCCTCAAACCTCTGGCAGCCACTAATCTGTTCTCCAGCTCTATAGTTTTGTCATTTCAAGACAAAATATATACATGAAAATATACAGTATGTGTAATCCTTTGAGATTTTCTTGCAACTCACCATAATTCTTTTGAGATTCACCTAAGGTATATTTTTATTTGTTTTTTAGAATAATCTCTACATCCAATGTGGGGCTCAAACACACATTCCCAAAATCAAGAGTTGCATGCTCCACTGTCTGAGCCAGCCAGGCGCCCCTCAGCTGAGTTACTGAGTGCATAAATAAATCATTCCTTTTCTCATTGCTGAGTAAGTATCTTATAGTATGGATGTGCTCCACTCTGTTTAACCATTCATCTACTAACACTCATTTGGGTTGTTACTAAATTTTGGCTTTTACAAATAAAACTACCATGACCTTTCATGTAAATTAGGTTTTGTGTGAACACATTTTTTTCATTTCCCCAGGAGAGATGTCTAAGAGTGTAATGACTGGATCGTATAGTATGCACATGTTCAGTTTTGTAAGAAAGTGCTATACTGTTTCCCGCAGTGGCTTTTCCATTTTCCATTCCCATTAGCAATGTATGAACATATGAGTGTGCAAACTTTAACTGCTTCACTAATAGTTCTTCAGAATAGCTAAAGAAAGAGTAATCTGATGAAAATATTTCCGCCCAAATGGCCCCATGGTTTGGGAAGATTTCTATAGGAGGCCCACATTGTAAAGAAGTTAGGTCAAGGAAGTCCTAAAAGTGCTTTGAAACAAGGCCAAAAATTTATCCTAGAGACTTCTGAAAGGAAAGGAGAAAACTAACATTTATAGAGCAGAAATACCAAGGCATTCTCATTCTTTATCTCATTCATTCCTCAGATGACCCTGTAAGAAGGGTAATATGCCCATTCTACAAATAATAGTCAAGGTCTCAAGTAACTTTTCAAACAGTTACAGTTACCAATGGGCAAAGCAAGACTAAACAGCCCAGCTTCTAGCTCAGTGCCAGAAGCAGAGGAGGGAAGCAACACATTTGTTGAAAAGACTGAATGAATAGATAAGTGTCAGTTCTGCTATTTGTGTCTCCCTCGGCAAGACCATTTCTCTGAGTCTGCGTCTTCGTCTGTTAAAGGAAGACAAGAATAACACCTTCAAAGAGTAGTGAACAAAGGAGGTGATATGAAAAAAAAAACCGGAAACATGTAAAATATTAAAAAAATGTTAGCACAATATTCTAAAAGTACAGTCAGTGTCATAACCAAATCCCGATAAAATACAGGCACAAGAGTTAGGTGGGTGGGTGTAGTGCCAGTAAGTACCCTGTGGATCACCTAATGTCTGTTTCCCCGAGTATCCTTATCTGTGAAATCACAATTGAGATTAAGGTGGAGCACCTTAATGACACGGACCCTAAGATTCTCACTAGGTAATGAGATAGAACCAAGCAAACCTCGACATAGGAAATTCATTTGAAAATATTTATTATACCTCCCAGGATGATGAAAAGTGTATTGCTATCATTATCCACGGCATTCTGGCCTATATCAGTTAGGTCATCGAGACCTGTATCAGTGCATCAAAATTATTACATATGTAATTTGTATATTTGTATATGCATTTATATATGAAAACAGTATTGGTAACAGTAAATAATGAGAATATATATATATATATATATATATAACTTCCGAATACCAGTCTCTAAGAAAAATATGCACTGGATAGAAGTGGAAGAATGGGCAAGGAATTGATATATTATGTCTGTGTAGGGAATAAGACTGGCTAAAAGGGTAAAGAAACTTCAAATTTGTAACTCTTTGCATTTTCCCTTTGAATTTTGCATAATATATTACTATATTACTATTCAAAAATACTGTAACATTTTATAAAAATCTTGGATAAAATTGTAACATTAACATAGACTAACTACAGGACTTTTTAAAGCATTGCTTTTAAATTATTAAAATCGGAAAATATGAAACCACTTCCTTTTCAATATCATTGTGGGCTTTTACCGAATTGATGGTCTCTGGGCATATTTAACTCTTCTAAATAAAGCAATCTTCCCCTTTTAGCACATTTTTAAAGACTGCTGAATGGTAGATAAAATGGAACAAAATGAGTTACTTCCTAGGAATAAAACATCTGTTTTAACTAAGAGCTCAGAAGTAATGAGGCAAAAAGTGTACAGAGGCGAAGAAGAGAAAGAAGTTAAGGCCAGCATTGCCAAGGGCCATCGCTGGAAGCTGCCAGCACCAGCGCTGTGGCATGACGGCTCATGTGCACTTTGGTGGTCATCCAACGCGCGGGGACTAGACAGAGTTTGGTGCCAACATGTTTTTCATCGGCTACCATCACCAGTCAAGGCGGGATTAGGATTTTCGCAAACCCCTAAACACTGAAAAGATGATGGTGTCTCTCTCCCCTATGTAGCTACAAATGGAGATATATGTAGAAAATAAATTACAATTTAAATTAGGGGGAACGCAAGACCGTCCCTCTAGATTTACTTAGATAAAAATTCTTAATAAAGTCATCAAAGCTGACCATTTTTTTCTGATTTTCCCTCCTTTAGACTTAGTCCAACTGCTTGTTCCAAAACCCAGCACTCGCAGGCTCTTAAGCGCAAGCCACGCCGAGCGCCGCAGGTGCCAGCCCCACCCCAGGGATCCCCTCCGTCGCTCCGCCCACCTGACCCTTCGCCCCGCCCATTGGGCGCGCCGTCGTTACGGCAGCGCGCGGTCGCCGAAGCCCGGCAGCAAATGAGCGCAGGCGGCCGCGGCCCTCCGCCGTACCCTCGCATGCGCATGCGCGCTCGTGCCGGGCGCTCCCGAAGCCCTGGCGGAGCCCGGCGCGGATGGAGGCCTGAGGGCGGCGGGGGCGGAGCGCACCGCGAGCGGGGGGCATGTCCGCGGCGGGCGCCGTCTAGAGGAAGGCCGAGCAGCCGCCACCACGCTCTCAGTCGCGGCGAGACGCAAGCGAGCCAGGCCTCGGGCCGCGGCGGCGATGCAGCGACGGCGGCGCCCTCCGCCGCCCGCTTCTCAGCTGCCCGAGGGCTGCGGGGGAGGCGGCGGCGGCCGCGGCGGGAGCGAGGAGGTGGAAGTGCAGTTCTCCGCCGGGCGTTTGGCCTCAGCCGCGGCGGTTTCGGCGGCGGCGGCGGCCGCGCGCAGCACCGAGGACGAGGAGGAGCGGCTCGAGCGCGAGCACTTCTGGAAGATCATTAATGCCTTCCGCTACTACGGGTAAGAAGCCCGTGGCGGACCCCGGCGCAGCCCATCGAGGTGCCCGCCGGTTGCGGCGGAGCCGCCGGAACGGGGGCGCCCGCCGCGCTCGCCCTCGGCCGCCACGCCTCCGGGGCCCCCGGACCGGGCCGCCAGATGTGACCTCCGGGCCCCCGAGTCACCTCGTACCACCTTAGCCCCTCCCGGCCCTGCACAGCCGCGTGTCTGCCGCGCCGTCCGCTTGCTGCTCAGCCTCGTGTCTTCCAGCCTCGGGATCAGATTAGCTCTCTTGCCTTCCATCCCTCGTTAAAGGTTTGGCTTTGAGGCCGGTGGGGGTGACCGGAAAAGTGCTGTTAACAATTGCAGATAGAAGATGATGGTGGTAAAATCGTCCAGTGCTGGGCATGATCTGTATGTGTTGTCGATGTCCTCCAAACTGAACACACGGAGAACCCAAGTTCACCTACACGTGGGATGCCGTAGGACGAATTTTCCCAAACTGTTGGCCAGTTCTCGTGAGAGCTGCGTTAAGATTTCCATCCCAGTCCCCCTGGCGCTTTGAACGTACAGGCACATTAGTGGTGAATGATGGCGCTCAAGGTCTTTAACTGGTGGGTGAAATTAAGGCCGGAGGTGGTCCGGATGCTCTAAAATTCTTTAAGTATAAAGAGGGCGATGAGAGAAGGCACAGCAAAGAACCGCATATATGATCTTTTCTTCTGCAGATATGCATCGAATTCTTACTGTGGGCTGGGCACGGTGGTAGGAACTCCCTAACGTCCACTTTTCTTTCTCTTTTTAGATAGATGTTAAAATAGCTTAGTCACAAAATTAGAATTCCACGATCTGAAAGGGACTTAGGTTTTCAGGTAAATATAGCACTTCCATTCGTGTGAAGAGATGAGTCCGCCGACGTCTGTGTTCTGAGCCTGCAGTTGGAAGGAGATAGACAGACATGACCTGTACAAGTAAAACTGTTGTTCCCTTAGATAGGCTTCTGCTGTCCTTTATGCAAACTTTTTTTTATTGCTTGGCTGTGACCTCTTCAAGGGCAGGGACTGAGCCTTATTTATTTTTGTGCCACCAGTGCTTGGCATATGTTGTTGAAGCTCTATTTTTAACAAATAAGACAAGTAGTAGCAAAGAAATACATTTGTCCTTCCCAAGTAGTCTGTGAATTTGTGACAGGCCGGTAGTTTGTTACTATTTTGCATTTGGAAACTTGCTTAATAAAAGCTTAAAGTTCTTTGGAATCTGACACCATTGGTAACATGAATTTTGGAAAATGCAGAGATTTTGATGAAATACTTTACTGATTAAACCCAGGCACAGGAACTGGGGACTGCATTACTTATGGACCCCAAAAGGGAACTAACTAGTATGGGTATATTACTTAGTGTCAACACAGGGAGGAAGGCAGAAAACCACAGAACTGAGTTTGATGCATGTATTGTGCCTTCAAGAATCACCACAGGGAGGGGAAAGAGCTGCCCTTAGGGTTAGGGAGCTAGGAGAAGTAGGTACAGAAAAGTCTGGTACATTTTACTGTTGAAAATTCTAGAAAGGATATTGGAATCTGTTCTGGAAATACAGTGAATACAGTGGACCTGATTAGTTAAAATGTGTGTTTGTGCAGGGTCGTATATAAAATTAATATTTATGATTAGGTATCAGATGGGCCTTTTGGGGGGCCCTGGGGACAACAGGGACCTTGGATCTGGAACGAGGGCTCCAATGTGGCAATAGAGAGAAGAGTGCTTGCGTGAATGTTCTGTTGGTTGTGATATAGATTCCTGTACTCAGCCTTCTGGTTAATGTGGGATTAAGGACAACTTCATTTTTAAAAAAACAATCCTTTTTATGTGTGTGTACTCTTTTTTTTTTTTTTTTTAATTTATTTATTTTGAGAGAGAGAGAGAAAGGAAAGAATCCCAAGCAGTCAGTGAGGAGCCCAACGCAAGGCTTGATCTCGTTACAGTGAGATCATGACCTGACCCGAAACCAAGAGTCGGACACTTAACTGACTGAGCCACCCAGGTGCTCCCAGTGTGTACTCTCTTGATGAAACGTTGAGATAGACTGAAAATAGTGTTAAAAATACCTTTTAAAAATATCACTTGAAGGACTAGGGGTTATGGAAAGCATTTTGTAGCACAAAACACTCTGAGTTGTTATATTCCAACATTTTATGATCTTATAGACTTTCACTGTTCAGTACCATAGTCACTAATCACATCTTGCTAAATTTAAGCTTAAATTAATTAAAACTTACTAAAATTTAAAGTTCATTTCCCTAGTCTCACTGGCCACCTTTCAAGTGCATTTCAAACGTGGCTGGTGTCTGCCATGTGGACAGTGCAGATGTAAGCCTTCCCATCCCTGCAGTGAGTTTGGATGGACAATCCTATTCTGAGCCTTTAGCAAGTACTTCTCAATTTCGAAGAGTTTCCTTTTACTGCTAAATGTTTTTTAGTTATTATATAGGGGACTTAGACTGAAAGTCACAGGGCAAGAAGTGTCTTGAAGAATGTTTTTCCAACAGCTCCAATTTTGTATTTCCTACAGATTTTACATAGATGATATGTTTTGACTAAGGCAAAAATGATTAGGGCATTGTGGCAATAGCAAAAAAAAAAAAATTATTAGTCCTAAAATGAATGAAGATATCTAATATGTAGAAGATACTACAGTTGAAAAATCAAAGGTCTTGTCAGAAACATCCTGCTTTTAAAAATAGTAGGTTGGTGAGATTTAGAAAATGGAATTGTAGAGTTCTTCCGTGCAGGTGAAGGAATAGTCCTATAAAGAGGTGAACAGCTTGCTCAGGCTTACACAACCAAATTGTGGTAGAACCTGGCCTGAAATCCAGAATTATTCACTAAGATTTTACCCTGCATTAGAAAGCAGGGATGCTTACTAAGACAATTTTAACCGTGAGTTTTTAATAAATATTTAAAGTGGATTGAGACAGACTTTCCTTCTGAAAAGATAGGCTTTCCTGTTTTGGAATTCTAGAGTAGTTCAGCGGGTGCAGAGGAATGGGTCTGTGACCTTGGCCCTTGGCTCAGTCCCGGTATCAGACCCACCCTGATGAAAGGAGACTAAATCAGAGTTGGAGTCAATGCCGAGACACTCCTTCTGTAGAGAGCTGAAGGTAGAGATACCCCAGGGAATAAGGGCTGCTCATTCTGCTTTCTCCCCTCAGCCACCAGAGGATATGGCCTCTTGCCTTGAGTTGAGAACCAAGGAGAGCCTGAAGGTTGTAAACCATTCCTTAAAAGCAGGCTTGGGAAACTCTTTAAAGGGCCAGGCAATGACTATTTTTAAGATTGAAAGGCTAGGTAGTCTCTGTTACAACTATTTAACTCTGCTCTGTGTGGAAGCAGCTACAGGCAGTATGTGAACAGTTGGGCGTGGCTGTGTTCCAGTAACACTCCTTATAAAATGGGCCTAGTAGCCACAGGGGCCATGGTTTGCCCGTCCCTTCCTTCAGGTACATTGGTAGGGTAAGCATTTCCAGAACGGTGAAGTTAGCCCCATTTAAAATAATGAGTAGACTCTTTTCTCAACTTTTTTTTTTTTTTAATTTTTTTTTTTTTTAATGTTTTATTTCTAGGAGAGAGAGAGAGACAGCGTGAGCAGGGGAGGGTCAGAGAGAGAAGGAGTCACAGACTGAAACAGGCTCCAGGCTCTGAGCTGGCAGTCAGCACAGAGCCCGACGCGGGGCTCGAACCCACGAACCGCGAGATCATGACCTAAGCGGAAGTCGGACGCTTAACCGACTAAGCCACCCAGGCGCCCCTCTTTTCTCAACTTCTAAGACCTCCCTTATTTCAAGAGAGACACTGTGGGTGTCCCGGGCAGTTTTGCACACCATTAGATAATCAAGGGTTGAGAGATCTGCAGCCTCTCCTCCTGCTCTGTGTACTCCATCCCATACACCAGTCCAAAACTTACCTCAACTACCCTGCAAACGTGGAAATTAAGTAGTCTTCACCGAGCATCAAAAATGGCACTTAGGGAACATAACTGAATGTGTACTCATTGCTGTTTGTGTATGCTGAAGTCTGGAGATTCAGTGGGGACAAGACTGTATGTTAGAATTCATTGGGAGTGGTAGACTGAGGCTGGGTACAGCATCCCCAGGGAGCAGGCCTCTTAGGAATCTTGGGGAGACCTAATGAGGGCCTAGGGGAGGTGGTGATTTGCAGACAGTTTATGGACTGGAATCAAAAGGATCTGGGGCTTGTGACTGGGATCTGTGAGGAGAGGCGTTTTAGGATGACTCATTTGTTTCTGACCTGAGTGGACTTGCAGTGTCCCATCATGCATCCATACTGCCATTAGCCAGTACCACTCATCAGCCATATAGGCAGAAGTGCAAGGTTTCTTGGAGGGGTGATCGTGTGCTAGGTTCAGTGTGTCTGTGTTGAATTTTGAGGTGTGCCAAGAGAGAGGTTGAGAGGCATCCGGTGGCCAAGAGTGCTAGAAACGAAGTACTGTGAGACTGTTTTAACCAGTTGACCGCGAGCCATAAACCTTCACAACTCTGCTGTTTGCCTGGCACATTCTGGTCACTTTTAAATTGTTCTTCAGTGTCATAATCTATTTTATAGGAATGCAAGCTGATGCAGTCTTTCTGAAAATCACTTTGTATTAAAAACCTGAAAAATACTTATTCTTTCTTTTAAAAATTTTTTCTAAGTTTATTTATTTTTGAGACAGAGACAGTGTGAGCAGGGTATGTAAGGGCAGAGAGAGAATCCCAAGCTGACTCTGAGCTGTTAGCACAGAGCCCGATATAGGGCTCGAACCCACGAAACTCTGAGATCACAACCTGAGCTGAAAGCAAGAGTCAGACACTTCTCTCACTGAGCCACCCAGGCGCCCCTACTTATTCTTTCTAACCTGGTAATTCTTCTTTTGGGAATTTGTAGTATTTTTTTCCCCTGAAATAAAGACCCATTTAGAACACAGAAAGTTTATCATGTAGACAAGTGAAAGTATCTAGATGTCCAGTGTTTGGGAAATAACTAAGTAAATTTTGGTTGCATAGATGGGATAATGAACACTTATTATGTAGTCTTTTGCCCTGTAGTCATTAGAGAACTTTGTTCTGATCTGGGAAAATTCTTTTGATACAGATGAAGGATTACAGTTGCTTCTAGAAAGTTGGTGTGCATGTGAATCATTTGGAAATCTTGTGAAAAGGCAGATTACATTTCAGTAGGTCTTCGGTGGAGCGTCAGATTCTTCATTTCCAGTTGTTCCTAAGTGATCTGCTGTTCTGTGTATCACGTTTTGACTAGAAAAGCACTTTGTCTTAACAACAGGAGAAATATGCCAAAAAGTTAGTGATTGCCTCTGGAAGAGGAATTATTAGTAGCTTTTTTTCCTAGAGGACTTTTACTTCTCTACATTTCTTTTTTTTGTATTTTCACTGTGAACATATCGATTATGCAGATGAGATATACCTACCATATTTGAGCTATGTCTCAGGCCCTGGGCTAAGTGATGTGTGTGCAGTATTTTGCTACATTTTCAGTGAAATCCATTGGGTTGGCAGAGGAGTATTACGGTAGCTACCTCATGGAATTTTATGGAGATTTTTCAGAATAATCCATGTTTAGTGACTTTTGATGTAGGGCCTGGCTTTTATTAAATCTCAGTAAATGTTAGTTTCTGTCATCATCATCATCGTTGTTGTTACGTAGTATCTTGTTTTGTATATGACATGGTTGGGGCACAGAGGAAGGAAGTAACTCTCCAAGGGTCACATAGCAAATAGGTAGTGTAACCTGGATATCAGTCCATATATGTGTTCTGAACCCAGAGCTCGCTATTATGCTGTCTCCAGGGGGGAAAGCAAACAGCGATGCAGTCCTTGTTGCCTTCATCTCTTCATGTTACTCTGCCATTCCCCCCCCTTGCCCTTAACCCCTACGGCCACCACACAGAAGCTTCTAAAACCATGGCCAGGTTGTTGCTTTAGTCAAGAGCTGCCTCAGAACTTATTACTATTCAGAAATTAGTGATTAGCATAAAAATGAGACAATTATTTGGATGAATAGAAAGATTCAGTCAACCAAATGAAAAAGTGTTTTTCATGATCATTTAGTAAGGAGTAAATGCCAACGCACGTTTTGAAGAAACAAACGTTTACTTCCTTGTTTGTATGTATAAAATGTAATGACACAGTGAATACCCAGGAATCTTAACACCTCGTTTAAAAAAACATCCTTTCCCTTTCCCTTCAAAGAACATCACTTTATTGAATTTTCATTTCCTTGCTTTCCTTGTGGTTTTTCTACCTGTATTCAGCCCCTGTAACGTATTGTTTATTTTTATACAAGATGCAATTGTACATCATGTATTTTTTCTGCAACTTGATTTTTTCAACAAATATTTAGATTCATGAGTTTTATCCAGATTATTGTGTATAGTTATAGTCTATTAATTTAATTGCATTCCATTGTATGATTATACTGTACTTCATTCATTTTTCTGGTGATGGACTGTTAGGTTGTTTGCAGATTTCTTGTTTGTTACTGATAACAGTGCTATTAAGAAGATAGTGTTGTGGAACCTGTTTGAAAGTTTCTTGAGTATGTGTCTAGGACTATAATTGCTATGTCATAGGGAGTGTGCATATTAAGCTCTACTGGGTAATGCTAAATTATTTTCCAGAGTGGTTGTGCTAATTTATGCACCTACCATCAATCAGTATATATACGTATTTATACTTACATATTCCTATAGTCAGGCTTTTAGATTTTGCACATCTGGTTAATGTAAAATGGCATTCATTGCAAATGTATTATTCAACTTTTTAAAATGAGGGTTTTGTTTTTCAGATTTTATAAATAATCCCCAAAGTGACCTTTAGAGTTATCTGGAAACTTCTGGAATGCAAATTATGAATAATATGTACATTTCATTTTTTTGTTTACTACTTTTGTAGTACATAAGATCTTTTGTGATTTTTAAAAATTTACCTTGGTTGGCTCTTAGTTAATTTTAAAACACAGTTTGTGTATTCTAAAGTAATCTCAGAGCAGTATTCTGCTACTGAGAGAGAAATTTAAAGCAGTCAACTAGTTTGCTGAAAATTTTAAGTTTGGAAATTAAAATCATAAAAATAAACTCATTGTGTGTTATTCCTCTTCATGTTTTCTTTTACCCCCCAAAATGGTGCAAATGTTTACTTTGCTAGCTATCAACTCTTTCTCTTTTCTTTGCCTAAAGAATTTGTAATAAGGTGAAAACATAAAGTTGATATCCTTTAAGAAACCAAAAAATTGTAAATAACAGGACAGTATCCAACATTATAAAGGAATAATTATACAGAAAGACAACCTTAAAATAAGATTGGCCCTGATGAGAATTCTTTTGCCAATTTAAAAAACACCTTTTATGTTTTAGCACCAGTATGCATGAGCGAGTGAACCGAACAGAAAGACAATTTCGATCACTTCCAGATAACCAACAGAAACTACTTCCTCAGTTTCTTCTTCACTTGGACAAGATTCGGAAATGCATTGATCATAATCAAGAAATACTACTGACCATTGTGAATGATTGCATACATATGTTTGAAAATAAAGAATATGGAGAAGATGTATGTGAAAGTTTGTTCTATTTTTCATTTTAGGGTTTAACTTCTGTCTTTAGAGGTCTTTATCTTTCTGGATTTCACTTTTATATTTTGCATGAGTCATTTGCTCTACTCAGAGAATGTTTTCACTTATGTGTTCAGGCATTTGATTAGGCTTAACAGGATAGTGTGCCAGAAACTGGGTTTGTTCACTGATTTTTTTCCCCTAAAATTAGTAAGATAATTGGTGCCACATGGATATACATTTCACAGAGTATTCGGACTGTTCTAGTGGATAGAGTTAGTGACTTAGATTTTTGTGATCTTCAATAGCTGTGTAAAATTAATTTCCCTTGCTAAACTCATCTTCAGTATCTTGTATCTATTGATATTTATCTTTTACTTTAAGAAATGATTTTCACTTATAAATCTCAAGGGACTGGCAGTAATAGAAACTGAAGTCCTCCTTTTGTATCCACAGGAGAGATACAGTTGGGCCACTCCACTGTGAGCCTTTCCATGCTGCCACATCAGTGACCCGGAGGGACTTTCTTCCCTCTCTTAGAGAGACATGTTCCGTCCCCATAGCAGCTCATTTCTGGTCCTCTCCTGAGTAAGGACTGCTTAATTATATGGTGGTTTCATCATTAATGGACCTTAATCTATTGAGGGTAGAAGTGAGACCACCAAGCTCTTTTCATTTAGGATCTCAAGCTGCACTTGAACCCCGGTTGAGGTGAGAGGCTAGTGATTTATCCACTAACCCATCTATATGGCCCCTCAGTAGCCTGTCTGTTTGACCGTATCCAGGGTTGATTTCTTTGTCAGAAGCTAATTGAGTTCTGTTTTTTAAACAGGGGAATGGAAAGATTATGCCAGCGTCTACGTTTGACATGGATAAATTAAAATCCACACTGAAACAGTTTGTGAGAGACTGGAGTGAAACTGGGAAAGCAGAAAGGGAAGCCTGCTACCAGCCAATCATTAAAGAAATTTTAAAAAATTTTCCAAAAGAGAGATGGTAAATAGTATCTTATTTTTAACCTATTTCTTTAAAGATAAGCACCAAGTTTTTCTATAAGAAATTTCACAGTCTTGATTCATTCTTACAGTTGCTGTGTGCCTGTAGTTTTTCATATATGGATGTGTGGTGTTGTGTATGTTCTTAAATGCCTTGTGTGACATTGTGGTTAATATTTTGAATATTCTTTGCCCTAGCACTTAATCACTGTAGAAATTAGTAAGATTAGATTGAATGTTCATTATCAATGATATTTTCTTTTTATAATTTGCCTATGGCAAAGCCAAAAGCTTTAGACAAATTTAATTTTCCTTATTATGACAAACTTGTAAGTAAATGGGGGGATTTTTAGCTTAGAGCAGAGATTCATAACATTTTTGTGTCATGAAAAACCTAAGCAGGCTACTTTTCTGAGTAACATTTATGAATGGATAAAATAGAAGGCATAAGATTACCAAGAAACCAATTTCAAGTACAGCTATAAAAATATTTAAAAAGCAAACTTGTGCTATATCATGCTTTGTTTCCTGTATCACATTGAATCAGATCTAGCAGCAAGTATAATTACTGTACTTTAAAAATACCAGTCTATGTGTTATTTTGAGAATCTCAACAGTTTCAAAATAACAGATAAGTTGCATGCATTTTACACTTATATACTCTCCCTACTAACCAATTCTTAACATTTTACATTTAATGCATTATTTCTTCTTCCTATATCCTTCCCCGGTTCCCCTGCTTTGTAAGTATGTCGAAAACCACATATATGCATAGCTACTTATTTAAACCATTTGAGAGATCAATCTGTGTGTACATCATGGTGTTATTTTTTTTACTTCTTAATACTCCAGGGTTCATTTCTGAAGAACGAGGATATACATACACACAGTGTGGTTATCGGGTTGAGGACAGTGTAATACTGTCTTCTGATATAGAGTTTATTAGGTTTTGTAAATTATCCTGAAAATGTTCTTTATAACATTTCTCTTTCTAGTCTAGATCCAGCCCTGGATGTTGTATAACATTTATTTCATTACAGTATTTTAGTTTTTAATCTAGAAAGGTTCCCTGGCCTTTCTTTGTCTTTCCTAGACGTTGACATGTGTGAAGAATACAAGGAAGTTATTTTATAGACTCTTCCTCAGTTTGAGATTATCTGATGTTTCTTCATGAGTGAATCTGGATTATATGTCCTTTTCAAAATAGTATGTAATTGATGTGTTCTTTTCAGGATGTCACATTTGGAGTAGTACAATGTCTGTTAGTCCATCAGTGATGATTTTAATTTTGATTACACATTCAGAATGTCATTCAGTTTCTCTACTGTTCAGTTACTATTTCTCCTCTTACAACTAATAAACAGTTTCTGGGGAGACACTTTGAGACCATGCAGTTAATTTCCTGCTCCTCCTCAAACGTTCTCTGCCTTAGAATTGTCAGCCATTGAGGATTCCTGCATGAACTAATCTGTCCTCTGACGGTTATGAAATGGTGATTTTCTAACTATAATTATCAGTCAGCATTCTACTGTATCTATAAACTATTACCTGAAAGGACCAGTGGTTCCTATTTTATTCAGTGAGTTACGATCCATTATTATTGGTTTGTTGTTCAAATTGCCTCCGATTTAGCCAGCAGGAGTCCCTTGAGGTTGGCTCCTCTGTCCTTTCCCCATGGTCCAATTGTTTTTTAGCACTTCCTTATTTCTCTGGCACAGTAAGATATTTTAGTACCATTGTATCTTCCTGACTTTAATCTTGGAATTGGATGTTTTTCCAAGGACCCAGTTCCTTTAATGTGGAATGGAATATAGAAACCAAGATCTGGCCCTGAGCATTTTTATTGTTACTAAGATGTCACTGCTTCTGAGCCTTTTGGTGGATAGAACACACACACACACAAACACACACACACACACATACACACACACACAATCATTAGTTCATGTGAATCCCTTCAATTCCAGTCTAACCCCAAAGGTTTCCTTCTTGGCTTCCCTGTTCTCTCTGTCTGCCTTTTTCCTCAGGAAGAACCCTGCCTTCTGACAGCATCAGTACATGTACTCATTCCCTCAGTCCTACAATCACATGTTTTCAGAATTGCTCTCCTCATACCACTATGAAAAACAGATTACCCACATGAGTTTAGGATTTGCTAGCAATTATTTTTTTCCCCTTAACTAAGGGTATTCCCAAAAGTATTCTTCACAAGTTACTCAGATTAGCTTCTCTTCAGCCCCCTATCCTCAGTGTGGTTGTGTTTAATTTGAAACTCAGTACGTCAAGGTTTGTTTCTCTTTGTTTCAGTTTTTAGGGTTGTTCTGTCCTCCCCCCATTTTCCATCCTTGCTGATTTATAGTTAATTTTTGATTCATGAGCTGTCAGCTATCAATTTGTGATATTCAGAAAAAGTGTCATTCTCTTCCCTGTTCCTTTGATAGTCCGTCTCTTCAACCCCTCATTCTTAGCCCCACACCCTATGTAGGTAATCAGTATCATTGATTTCTTGTTTGTCCTTGTATTAATTTTTTGTTTCCTATGAATGTAAACAGAGGTTTTCTTCTTAATTACCTCCTTTTTTCATACACAAAATGTAGCAGCCTGTATATTTTATGTTGCATTCTGCTTTTTTCACTTAACATTTTATCCTAGAAATAGCCAATTATTGGGGTACCTCCTGACTGGATCAGTCAGTAGAGCATGTGACTCTTAATCTCAGCGTTGTGAATTTGGGCCCCATGTTGGGTGTGGAAATTACATAATGTTACAGTTGATAACCACATGCATGTGTAGTTTTGTACTGTTGGAAGTGTATCTTTAGTGTAAATTCTTAGACATGGAATTACTGAACCTAAATGCATATGGCGTGCTAAGTGTATTGGTTACCTGTTGCTGTAAAAGACATTACCACAAATTTAACTGCTTAAAACAGACACACTTTTCATTTCACATTTTCTGTGGGTCAGAAGTCTGGGCCTAGCTTAATTGGGTCCTTGGTGTAGGATCTTTTAAAGGTTATAGTCAGGATGTCTAGTGGGCTGTGTTTTCATCTGGTGGCTTGACTGTGGAAATATCTGCTTCCATGTGCACTCATGTTGTTGGCAGAATCCATTTCATTGGGGTTGTAGGACTGAGGCCCCTGGCTTCCTGTTGACTGCTGTGGGAGCCTGCCTCAGCAGTTTTGTCTTGCGAGCTTTCCCCAAGGGGTCACTTTGTTCGCCAGGCTGGCAAGAAAAGTCTTTAGAAGCCTTCACTGGTGTGTTTATAATGTGATGTTATCACACGGGTGACTGTTGGTTAGAAGAAGCAAGTCATAAATCCTGCACACACTAAAGGGAACGGATTGCAAAAACGCGTGAACACCAGTAGGTGGGGCCCAACTTAGGGTCTGTGCCACAGTTATTGCCACATATCCTTATAAGGTTTGTACTGTTTCACCTTCTCGTCAGCAGTGTACGAAATTGCCTGTTTACTCACAGCCTTGCCACACACACTGTATTATCAGGCTTGTGAACTTTTGCCAATCTACGGGTAGAGAATCATATCTTGGCCTACTTCTTATTTGCCTTTCTCTTATTATGAATGAACTTGACTAGTCTAATATGTTTAAGGGCCATTTTGTACCTAGTTTTGAGAAATACAGATTGGTGTTTTTCCCAAAGTTGAGGTGAAATGCATATAAATGATGTAACAGTTTTAAACACTTTGGTGATATTTAGTAAATTAACAGTATTGTGTATCCATCATCTCTTACAGAATTTGAAAACACTTTCATCAGCCCACAATAAATTCCATACCCCTGAAGCGGTTACTCCCCATTCTCCTTACCCCACCTCTGACCTCTGTCCGAAGTTTACGATGAGGTGCCTAGATGTGGTTTTCTTTGAATTTATCCGGCGTGGGCTTGGTTTTGCTTTGGGAGGCTTGGGTAGATATGTAGCGCCAAATCAAAAATTGTTCTTATTTCTTTCCCTTTTGGGACTGAATAGTATGTATAAGAAACTGCTTGACATGGTCTCTAAGGTGTCACATGGCTCTTTTCCCACTAACTGTTTCTATATTTTAGTTTGGATAGTTTCTATTTCTATTGGATAGTATCTACTTGAATTTCACTAATTCTTTATTATGCCAATCAGTTGATAAACCCATTGAAAGACTTTTTTAACTCTGATACCGAATTAAAAATATTTCTACTACCTCCATTACACTACATTTCTGTGTGTTCTCTCTGTGCTGACATTTCCTGTTTTGTACATGTAATCTACCTTTTCCACTTGATGCTTTAATGTATTTTTTATTTTTTTAATGTTTATTTTTGAGAGAGATAGATACACACATAAACTGAGTGTGAGTGGGGGAGGGGCAGTGAGAGAGGGAGACATAGAATCCAAAGCAGGCTCCAGACTCTGAGCTGTCAGCATAGAGGCAGACGTGGGCCTCAAACTCACAAATCGTGAGATAATGACCTGAGCTAAAGTTGGATGCTTAACCGACTGAGCTACCCAGGCACCCTTGCAGTTTTCTATAAATAGGTTCATGACATCTGCAAATAGAGATGGATTTTTACCTCTTCCTTTCCCACTTGAATAGCTCTGGCCAGAACTTCTGGCACAGTGTTAAATAGCAGTGATGAAACGGGGCATCCTTATCATGTTCTGGGTCTTTCTTTCATTATTGAACATGATGTTGTTAGCTGTAGGTTTTTCGCAAATACCGCTTACAATGAGGAATCTTCCCTCTATTCCTAGTGTCCTGAGCATTTTTTAAAAAATTTTTTTATAGTTTTTTATTTTGGAGACAGAGAGAGAGGGAGACACAGAATCTGAAGCAGGCTCCAGGCTCTGAGCTGTCAGCACAGACCCCGACGTGGGGCTCGAATCCACAAACTGTGAGATCATGACCTGAGCAGAAGTCGGATGCTCAACCGACTGAGCCACCCAGGCGCCCCTGAGCGTTTTTATCAAGAAAGAATGTTGCATTTTATCAAATACCGCTTCTGTG